AAGGAGGAGACCAAGCAAGCCCGGAAGGCCAGGAGAGGAAGAGCCTGAAGACGTAAGGAGGAGACCAGGCAAGCCCGGAAGGCCAGGAGACGAAGAGCCTGAAGATGTAAGGAGGAGACCAGGCGAGCCCGGAAGGCCAGGAGAGGAAGAGCCTGAAGACATAAGGAGGAGACCAGGCAAGCCCGGAAGGCCAGGAGACGAAGAGCCCGAAGATGTAAGGAGGAGACCAGGCGAGCCCGGAAGGCCAGGAGAGGAAGAGCCTGAAGACATAAGGAGGAGACCAGGCAAGCCCGGAAGGCCAGGAGAGGAAGAGCCTGAAGACGTAAGGAGGAGACCAAGCAAGCCCGGAAGGCCAGGAGAGGAAGAGCCTGAAGACGTAAGGAGGAGACCAGGCAAGCCCGGAAGGCCAGGAGACGAAGAGCCTGAAGATGTAAGGAGGAGACCAGGCGAGCCCGGAGGCCAGGAGAGGAAGAGCCGAAGATGTAAGGAGGAGACCAAGCGAGAAGGCCAGGAGAGGAGCCTGAAGAGTAAGAGGAGACCAGGCAAGCCGGAAGGCCAGGAGAGGAAGAGCCTGAAGACGTAAGGAGGAGACCAGCAAGCCCGGAAAGCCAGGAGACGAAGAGCCTGAAGATGTAAGGAGGAGACCAGGCGAGCCCGGAAGGCCAGGAGAGGAAGAGCCGAAGACGTAAGGAGGAGACCAGGCAAGCCCAGGCCAGGAGAGAAGAGCCTGAAGACGTAAGGAGGAGACCAGGCAAGCCCGGAAGGCCAGGAGAGGAAGAGCCTGAAGACGTAAGGAGGAGACCAGGCAAGCCCGGAAGGCCAGGAGAGGAAGAGCCTGAAGACGTAAGGAGGAGACCAGGCAAGCCCGGAAGGCCAGGAGAGGAAGAGCCTGAAGACATTAAGAGGAGACCAGGCGAGCCCGGAAGGCCAGGAGAGGAAGAGCCTGAAGACGTAAGGAGACCAGGCAAGCCCGGAAGGCCAGGAGAGGAAGAGCCTGAAGACGTAAGGAGGAGACCAGGCAAGCCCGGAAGGCCAGGAGAGGAAGAGCCTGAAGACGTTAGGAGGAGACCAGGCAAGCTCGGAAGGCCAGGAGAGGAAGAGCCTGAAGACGTAAGGCGGAGACCAGGCAAGCCCGGAAGGCCAGGAGAGGAAGAGCCTGAAGACATTAAGAGGAGACCAGGCAAGCCCGGAAGGCCAGGAGAGGAAGAGCCTGAAGACGTAAGGAGGAGACCGAGCAAGCCTGGAAGGCCAGGAGAGGAAGAGCCTGAAGACGTTAAGAGGAGACCAGGCAAGCCCGGAAGGCCAGGAGAGGAAGAGCCTGAAGACATTAGGAGGAGACCGAGCAAGCCTGGAAGGCCAGGAGAGGAAGAGCCTGAAGACATAAAGAGGAGACCAGGCAAGCCCGGAAGGCCAGGAGAGGAAGAGCCCGAAGACGTTAAGAGAAGACCAGGCAAGCCCGGAAGGCCAGGAGAGGAAGAGCCTGAAGACGTAAGGCGGAGACCAGGCAAGCCCGGAAGGCCAGGAGAGGAAGAGCCTGAAGGCATTGAGAGGAGACCAAGGAAGCCTGGACGACCAGATGAGGAAGAATCTGAGTTAACAATAACAAGAAGGGAAACCTTAGAGAGGAGTACCATTCAAAGTTCCACGGTTAGTAGTACATTGGTATCAAAAACAGATCAGTTTGTTACAAGTCAGACCATTGAGTTCGAAGAACCTGAAGAGGAAGAGCCTGAAGACGTTAGGAGGAGACCAGGCAAGCCCGGAAGGCCAGGAGAGGAAGAGCCTGAAGACGTTAGGAGGAGACCAGGCAAGCCCGGGCCAGGAGAGGAAGAGCCTGAAGACGTTAGGAGGAGACAGGCAAGCCCGGAAGGCCAGGAGAGGAAGAGCCTGAAGACGTTAGGAGGAGACCAGGCAAGCCCGGAAGGCCAGGAGAGGAAGAGCCTGAAGACGTTAGGAGGAGACCAGGCAAGCCGGAAGGCCAGGAGAGGAAGAGCCCGAAGACGTTAGGAGGAGACCAGGCAAGCCCGGAAGGCCAGGAGAGGAAGAGCCTGAAGACGTAAGGAGGAGACCAGGCAAGCCCGGACGGCCAGGAGAGGAAGAGCCTGAAGACGTAAGGAGGAGACCAGGCAAGCCCGGAAGGCCAGGAGAGGAAGAGCCTGAAGACGTTAGGAGGAGACCAGGCAAGCCCGGAAGGCCAGGAGAGGAAGAGCCTGAAGACGTTAAGAGGAGACCAGGCAAGCCCGGAAGGCCAGGAGAGGAAGAGCCTGAAGACGTTAAGAGGAGACCAGGCAAGCCCGGAAGGCCAGGAGAGGAAGAGCCTGAAGACGTTAAGGAGGAGACCAGGCAAGCCGGAAGGCCAGGAGAGGAAGAGCCTGAAGACGTAAGGAGGAGACCAGGCAAGCCCGGAAGGCCAGGAGAGGAAGAGCCTGAAGACGTTAAGGAAGAGACCAGGCAAGCCCGGAAGGCCAGAGAGGAAGAGCCTGAAGACGTAAGGAGGAGACCAGGCAAGCCCGGAAGGCCAGGAGAGGAAGAGCCTGAAGACGTAAGGAGGAGACCAGGCAAGCCCGGAAGGCCAGAGCCAGGAGGAGACCAGGCAAGCCGGAAGGCCAGGAGAGGAAGAACCTGAAGACGTAAGGAGAGACCAGGCAAGCCCGGAAGGCCAGGAGAGGAAGAGCCTGAAGACGTAAGGAGGAGACCAGGCAAGCCCGGAAGGCCAGGAGAGGAAGAGCCTGAAGACGTAAGGAGGAGACCAGGCAAGCCCGGAAGGCCAGGAGAGGAAGAGCCTGAAGACATTAAGAGGAGACCAGGCAAGCCCGGAAGGCCAGGAGAGGAAGAGCCTGAAGACGTTAAGAGGAGACCAGGCAAGCCCGGAAGGCCAGGAGAGGAAGAGCTGAAGACGTTAAGGAGGAGACCAGGCAAGCCGGAAGGCCAGGAGAGGAAGAGCCTGAAGACGTTAAGAGGAGACCAGGCAAGCCCGGAAGGCCAGGAGAGGAAGAACCTGAAGACGTTAAGAGGAGACCAGGCAAGCCCGGAAGGCCAGGAGAGGAGAGAGCCTGAAGAAGTAAGGAGGAGACCAGGCAAGCCCGGAAGGCCAGGAGAGGAAGAGCCTGAAGACATTAGGAGGAGACCAGGCAAGCCCGGACGGCCAGGAGAGGAAGAGCCTGAAGATGTTAAGAGGAGACCAGGCAAGCCCGGAAGGCCAGGAGAGGAAGAGCCTGAAGACATTAAGAGGAGACCAGGCAAGCCCGGAAGGCCAGGAGAGGAAGAGCCTGAAGACGTTAGGAGGAGACCAGGCAAGCCCGGAAGGCCAGGAGAGGAAGAGCCTGAAGACGTAAGGAGGAGACCAGGAAGACCAGATGAACCTGATACATATGAGGAATCTGAACTATCCATAACGAGAAGGGAAATTTTGGAAAGAAATGCAGTCCAGAGATCAACAGTAAGTACTACTTTGGTGGCAAGAACAGATGAATCTATGATTAGCCAAATCACCGAAGAATCTGAAGATATAAAGAGAAGGCCAAGTAGGCCAGGGAAGCCTGATAAACCAGATGATAAGGAACCTGAGGATAGTAAAAGGAGACCAGGAAGGCCAGGAGAGAAGGAACCTGACGATAAGAGAAAACCAGGAACCATTACAGGGAGACCGGGCAGACCGAGTGAGGACGAACCTGAAGATGTTAAGAGAAGACCCAGCAGGCCAGATGAGGAGAAACCTGAGAATATTAGGAGGAGACCGGGTAGGCCAGGTGAGGAACCTGAAATTGACGATGTTACGAGACGCTATGACTTGACTACGTATGACGACGTATCTAGAACTGAAGTTGTTCAGGAAACATTAGTACAAAGGAGTATTGAGGAAACATCTTTCCGTAGCACAGTTGTAAGTGAGGCTGTTGTTTTGGATGATACGGTTTATTATGTAAGTGAAGAGTACACCAGTGAAACAAGTGAAGAGGAAGTAGATGAAGACACTGAAACGCCAGATAAATCAAAGAAACGTTCGCCAAAGGATATTCCTAAAAAGAAAACAAGGGAGACAGAGAAACGTCCAAAGAGAAGACCAGAAGATGTGAAGGCCAAGCCAGGCAAGCCTGATGAAAAGGAACCTGTAGGCATTAAAAAGAGACCAGGTAAGCCAGGCGAAAAGGAACCTGACGATGCCAAGAGAAAGCCCAGTAGGACAGGTGATAAAGAGCCAGAAGACATCAAGAAAAAACCCGGCCGGCCAGGCGATGAACCTGGAGACAGGAAAAGACCAGGTAAACCAGGAGAGAAAGAACCTGTGGATGTTAAAGGAAGACCAGCTGACAAAGAGCCAGAGGATATTAAGAGAAAACCAGGCAGACCAAGTGGCAGTAAACCAGAAGATACTAAGAAGAGACCAGGTAAACCAGTAGATAAAGAACCTGTAAAAGGAAAGCTAGGTAGGCCAGCTAAACCTGATGAACCAGGAGAGGAAGAGCCGGAGGACGTTAAGAGACGACCAAGCAAGCCAGGTGAAAAGAAACCAGATGACATTAAGAGGAAACCTAGCAAGCCAGGTGAGAAAAAACCAGAGGACGTAGATAGAAGACCAGGACGACCAAGGCAGGAAGAACCTGAAGACATTAGGAGGCGACCAGGCAGGCCAGGTGAGGAAGAACCTGAAGGTATTAAGAGAAGACCAGGCAGGCCAGGTGAGGAAGAACCTGAAGACATTAAGAGAAGGCCAAGCAGGCCAGGTGAGGAAGAACCTGAAGATATAAGGAGGCGACCAGGCAGGCCAGGTGAGGAAGAACCTGAAGATATAAGGAGGCGACCAGGCAGGCCAGGTGAGGAAGAACCTGAAGATATAAGGAGGCGACCAGGCAGCCAGGTGAGGAAGAACCTGAAAGATATAAGGAGGCGACCAGGCAGGCCAGGTGAGGAAGAACCTGAAGATATAAGGAGGCGACCAGGCAGGCCAGGTGAGGAAGAACCTGAAGACATTAAGAGAAGGCCAGGCAGGCCAGGTGAGGAAGAACCTGAAGACATTAAGAGAAGGCCAAGCAGGCCAGGTGAGGAAGAACCTGAAGATATAAGGAGGCGACCAGGCAGGCCAGGTGAGGAAGAACCTGAAGACATTAAGAGAAGGCCAGGCAGGCCAGGTGAGGAAGAACCTGAAGACATTAAGAGAAGGCCAGGCAGGCCAGGTGAGGAAGAACTGAAGATATAAGGAGGCGACCAGGCAGGCCAGGTGAGGAAGAACCTGAAGAGAGAAGGCCAGGCAGGCCAGGTGAGGAAGAACCCGAAGATATAAGGAGGCGACCAGGCAGGCCAGGTGAGGAAGAACCTGAAGATATAAGGAGGCGACCAGCAGGCAGGTGAGGAAGAACCTGCAGCCAGGTGAGGAAACCTGAAGATATAAGGAGGCGACCAGGCAGGCCAGGTGAGGAAGAACCTGAAGACATTAAGAGAAGGCCAGGCAGGCCAGGTGAGGAAGAACCTGAAGACATTAAGAGAAGGCCAGGCAGGCCAGGTGAGGAAGAACCTGAAGACATTAGGAGGCGACCAGGCAGGCCAGGTGAGGAAGAACCTGAAGGTATTAAGAGAAGGCCAGGCAGGCCAGTGAGAAGAACCTGAAGGTATTAAGAGAAGACCAGGCAGGCCAGGTGAGAAGAACCAGGCCAAGCAGGCCAGGTGGAAGAACCTGAAGACATTAAGAGAAGCCAGGCAGGCCAGGTGAGAAAAAACCTGAAGACATTAAGAGAAGACCAGGCAGGCCAGGTGAGGAAGAACCTGAAGGCATTAAGAGAAGCCAGGCAGGCCAGGTGAGGAAGAACCTGAAGGTATTAGGAGAAGGCCAGGCAGGCCAAGAAGAACCTGAAGACATTAGAGAAGACCAGGCAGGCCAGGTGAGGAAGAACCTGAAGGTATTAGGAGAAGGCCAGGCAGGCCAGGTGAGGAAGAACCTGAAGACATTAAGAGAAGACCAGGCAGGCCAGGTGAGGAAGAACCTGAAGACATTAAGAGAAGACCAGGCAGGCCAGGTGAGGAAGAACCTGAAGGCATTAAGAGAAGGCCAGGCAGGCCAGGTGAGGAAGAACCTGAAGGTATTAAGAGAAGGCCAGGCAGGCCAGGTGAGGAAGAACCTGAAGACATTAAGAGAAGACCAGGCAGGCCAGGTGAGGAAGAACCTGAAATTAGAGAAGACCAGGCAGGCCAGGTGAGGAAGAACCTGAAGGTATTAAGAGAAGACCAGGCAGGCCAGGTGAGGAAGAACCTGAAGGTATTAAGAGAAGACCAGGCAGGCCAGGTGAGGAAGAACCTGAAGACATTAAGAGAAGACCAGGCAGGCCAGGTGAGGAAGAACTGAAGACATTAAGAGAAGGCCAGGCAGGCCAGGTGAGGAAGAACCTGAAGACATTAAGAGAAGACCAGGCAGGCCAGGAGAGGAAGAACCTGAAGGTATTAAGAGAAGGCCAGGCAGGCCAGGTGAGGAAGAACCTGAAGACATTAAGAGAAGACCAGGCAGGCCAGGTGAGGAAGAACCTGAAGACATTAAGAGAAGACCAGGCAGGCCAGGTGAGGAAGAACCTGAAGGTATTAGAGAAGGCCAGGCAGGCCAGGTGAGGAAGAACCTGAAGACATTAAGAGAAGACCAGGCAGGCCAGGTGAGGAAGAACCTGAAGGTATTAGGAGAAGGCCAGGCAGGCCAGGTGAGGAAGAACCTGAAGACATTAAGAGAAGGCCAGGCAGGCCAGGTGAGGAAGAACCTGAAGGTATTAAGAGAAGGCCAGGCAGGCCAGGTGAGGCTTAGAGAGGCCAGGCAGCCAGAGGAAGAACCTGAAGCCAGGCAGGCCAGGTGAGGAAGAACCTGAAGACATTAAGAGAAGCCAGGCAGGCCAGGTGAGGAAGAACCTGAAGACATTAAAGAAGACCAGGCAGGCCAGGTGAGGAAGAACCTGAAGACATTAGAGAGGACCAGGCAGGCCAGGTGAGGAAGAACCTGAAGGTATTAAGAGAAGCCAGGCAGGCCAAGGAGGAAGAACCTGAAGACATTAAGAGAAGACCAGGCAGGCCAGGTGAGAAGAACCTGAAGACATTAAGAGAAGCCAGGCAGGCCAAGTGAGGAAAACCTGAAGTATTAAGAGAAAGGCAGGCCAGGTGAGGAAGAACCTGAAGACATTAAGAGAAGGCCAGGCAGGCCAGGTGAAAAGGAACCTGAAGACACTAAGAGGCGACCAGGCAGGCCAGGTGAGGAAGAACCTGAAGACACTAAGAGGCGACAGGCAGCCAGGTGAAAAGGAACCTGAAGACACTAGAGCGACCAGGCAGGCCAGGTGAAAAGGAACCTGAAGACATTAAGAGAAGACCAGGCAGGCCAGGTGAGGAAGAACCTGAAGACATTAAGAGAAGGCCAGGCAGGCCAGGTGAAAAGGAACCTGAAGCACGAAAGGCGACCAGGCAGGCCAGTGAAAAGGAACCTGAAGACACTAAGAGGCGACCAGGCAGGCCAGGTGAAAAGGAACCTGAAGACACTAAGAGGCGACCAGGCAGGCCAGGTGAAAAGGAACCTGAAGACACTAAGAGGCGACCAGGCAGGCAGGTGAAAAGGAACCTGAAGACACTAAGAGGCGACCAGGCAGGCCAGGTGAAAAGGAACCTGAAGACACTAAGAGGCGACCAGGCACAGGTGAAAAGGACACTAAGAGCGACCAGGCAGGCCAGGTGAAAAGGAACCTGAAGACACTGTGAAAAGGAACCTTAAGAGGGCAGCCGAACCTGAAGACACTAAGAGCGACCAGGCACCAGGTGAAAAGGAACCTGAAGACACTAAGAGGCGACCAGCAGGCCAGGTGGAAGAGGCGACCAGGCAGGCCAGGTGAAAAGGAACCTGAAGACACTAAGAGGCGACCAGGCAGGCCAGGTGAAAAGGAACCTGAAGACACTAAGAGGCGACCAGGCAGCCAGGTGAAAAGAACCTGAAGAGCGACCAGCAGCCAGGTGAAAAGAACCTAAGAGGCGACCAGGCAGGCCAGGTGAAAAGGAACCTGAAGACACTAAGAGGCGACCAGGCAGCCAGGTGGAACCTGAAACACTAAGAGGCGACCAGGCAGGCCAGGTGAAAAGGAACCTGAAGACATTAAGAGGCGACCAGGCAGGCTAGGTGAAAAGGCACCTGAAGACACTAAGAGGCGACCAGGCAGGCCAGGTGAAAAGGAACCTGAAGACACTAAGAGGCGACCAGGCAGGCCAGGTGAAAAGGAACCTGAAGACACTAAGAGGCGACCAGGCAGGCCAGGTGAAAAGAACCTGAAGACAAAGAGAAGCCAGGCAGCCCAATAACCTGGAGACGTTAGGAGGCGACCAGGCAGGCCAGGTGAGGAAGAACCTGAGTGAGAGGCGACCAGGCAGGCCAGGTGAGGAAGAACCTGAAGACATAAGGAGGCGACCAGGCAGGCCAGGTGAGGAAGAACCTGAAGGTATTAAGAGGCGACCAGGCAGCCAAGGAAAACCTGAAGACATAAGAGCGACCAGGAAGGCCAGGTGAGGAAGAACCTGAAACATTAAGAGAAGACCAGGAGGCCAGTGAGAAGAACCAGAGAAGACCAGGCAGGCCAGGTGAGAAGAACCTGAAGAGAGAAGGCCAGGCAGGCCAGGTGAGGAAGAACCTGAAGACATTAAGAGAAGACCAGGCAGGCCAGGTGAGGAAGAACCTGAAGACATTAAGAGGCGACCAGGCAGGCCAGGTGAGGAAGAACCTGAAGGTATTAAGAGAAGGCCAGCACCAGAAGAACCTGAAGACAGACCAGCAGCCAGGTGAGAAGAACCTGTGCAGGCCAGGTGAGGAAGAACCTGAAGATATTAAGAGAAGACCAGGCAGGCTAGGTGAAGAGGAACCGGAGGATATTAGAAGGAAACCAGGAAAACCAGGTAGACCAGATGAAGAAGAGCCTGAGGATATCAAAAGGAGACCAGGCAGGCCAGGTGAAAAGGAACCTGAAGACAGTAAGAGAAGACCAGGCAGGCCAGATGATGAACCTGAGGATGTTATATTGGACAGACCAGATGAAGGCGAATCTGACGATAACGAAGAAAGGAGACCAAAAAGACCAGGTGCAAAAGACACCGTTACAAAAAGACCACGTAAACCTGTTAGCCCAGGTGAGGAAGAACCTGAAGACGTTAAGAGGAGACCAGGCAAACCAGGAAAACCTGGTAAGATGGATGTAAAAGAACCTGAAGATGCGAAGAGGAAACCAGGCAGAAAGATTAGCCGCCCTGGTGAAAAGGAACCAACAACACCTACTAGAAAACCGAGTCAACCTGGTGATAAAGAGCCAGTGACACCTGGTAGAAAACCTAGCCGTCCTGGTGATAAGGAGCCAGTGACACCTGGTAGAAAACCTAGCCGCCCTGGTGATAAGGAGCCAGTGACACCTGGTAGAAAACCTAGCCGCCCTGGTGATAAGGAGCCAGTGACACCTGGTAGAAAACCTAGCCGCCCTGGCGATAAGGAGCCAGTGACAACTGGTAGAAAACCGAGCCGTCCAGGTGAGAGGGAGCCGTCACCATTGATAAGAAAATCAGTAGATAGGGAACCTGAAGCGACAAGAAAACCGGGTAAGACAGGAGAGCCTTTGAAGGACAGAAGAACACCTAGCAGATCAAGTATTGACAGAGATGATGATCCTACACGACGAAGGATATCAACTCGTAGATCCCCATTCACTGGAAGGGAGGGCACCCCAGAATCTGATGACCTGCGACGAGGAGTACGAAGGGTTTCCCATCCAAGGAAAAACTCTCTTGATTATACTCAAGGTCGGAGACCCAGCCCTGACATTGAAGGCAGGACTTACAGTACACAGAGCCTTTCTGGAGTGTCTACTACAAGCTCTGTCCCGAGTTACATGAGGCCCAGAGGTGAATCTTGCAATTGCCGTCGCCATACTCCTGAAAGAGACATCCATGAAATTGAAGACTCCATCCTTAACTCTTACAAGTATACACGATGCACCAAGAAGATCACCAAGCCACCTGTCACTTATCACTATACTTACACAATTTCACCAGATCCCTCAGCTGGAGGAGGTGGCGGTGGGTCTTATTCAGTGTACTTTGGACCAAAAGACAAACCAACCCCAACTCATGCTGCTGGATTACCAACTCGAGTTTCTCCAGCAAGAGAAATTCCACAAGATGATCCTTCTGGCCAGCCTGAGGATAAAGGACGCCCAAGGGATCACCCTGACGACCCATCAGATAAACATCGTGATCAGCCTGATGACAAGGATCGTCCTAACCGCCCTGATGACAAAGATCGTCCAGGAGTAACTTACTATTATGTAGATAAATTTGGACATCGTGTGCCAGTTCCTGAAGGAGAACATCCAGAAGACAAGAGTCGTCTTGGTCGCCCTGATGACAAAGGTCGTCCAGATCAGCCTGATGACAAGGATAGTCCAGGCCGTCCTTCAGATCGTCCCGATGACCAGGGTCGTCCTGGCCACCCAGATGACAAGGATCGTCCAGGCCGTCCTTCAGATCGCCCTGATGACCAGGGTCAGCCTGGCCAGCCTTCAGATCGTCCAGGAGTTACGTACTATTATGTGGACAAGTTTGGACACCGTGTGCCAGTCCCAGAAGGAGAACGTCCCGGAGACAGACGTAGTCCTGATCGCCCTGATGATCAGGGACGTCCTAAACATCCCGATGACAAGGATCGTCCTGGCCACCCAGATGATAAGGATCGTCCTGATGACCAGGGTCGTCCAGGCCGTCCTTCAGATCGCCCTGATGACAAGGATCGCCCTGATGACCAGGGTCAACCTGGCCAACCTTCAGATCGTCCAGGTGTGACTTACTATTACGTGGACAAGTTTGGCCATCGTGTACCGGTCCCAGAAGGAGAACGTCCCGGAGACAGACGTAGTCCTGATCGCCCTGATGATCAGGGACGTCCTAAACATCCCAATGATAAGGATCGTCCTGATGACCAGGGTCAGCCTGGCCAGCCTTCAGATCGTCCAGGTGTGACTTACTATTACGTGGATAAGTTTGGGCACCGTGTGCCAGTCCCAGAAGGAGAACGTCCTGGAGACAGGCGTAGTCCTGATCGCCCTGATGACAAGGATCGTCCCGATGACCAGGGTCGTCCTGGCCACCCAGATGACAAGGATCGTCCAGGACGCCCTTCAGATCGTCCCGATGACAAGGATCGTCCTGATGACCAGGGTCAACCTGGCCAACCTTCAGATCGTCCAGGTGTGACTTACTATTATGTGGACAAGTTTGGCCATCGTGTACCGGTCCCAGAAGGAGAACGTCCGGGTGACAGGCGTAGTCCTGATCGTCCAGATGACAAGGATCGTCCAGGCCGTCCTTCAGATCGCCCTGATGACCAGGGTCAACCTGGCCAACCTTCAGATCGTCCAGGTGTGACTTACTATTATGTGGACAAGTTTGGCCATCGTGTACCGGTCCCAGAAGGAGAACGTCCGGGTGACAGGCGTAGTCCTGATCGCCCTGATGACAAGGATCGTCCAGGCCGTCCTTCAGATCGCCCTGATGACCAGGGTCAACCTGGCCAACCTTCAGATCGTCCAGGTGTGACTTACTATTATGTGGACAAGTTTGGCCATCGTGTACCGGTCCCAGAAGGAGAACGTCCGGGTGACAAGCGTAGTCCTGATCGTCCCGATGACCAGGGTCGTCCTGGCCACCCGGATGACAAGGATCGTCCAGGCCGCCCTTCAGATCGCCCTGATGACCAGGGTCAGCCTGGCCAGCCTTCAGATCGTCCAGGAGTTACGTACTATTATGTGGACAAGTTTGGACACCGTGTGCCAGTCCCAGAAGGAGAACGTCCCGGAGACAGACGTAGTCCTGATCGCCCTGATGATCAGGGACGTCCTAAACATCCCGATGACAAGGATCGTCCTGGCCACCCAGATGATAAGGATCGTCCTGATGACCAGGGTCGTCCAGGCCGTCCTTCAGATCGCCCTGATGACAAGGATCGCCCTGATGACCAGGGTCAACCTGGCCAACCTTCAGATCGTCCAGGTGTGACTTACTATTACGTGGACAAGTTTGGCCATCGTGTACCGGTCCCAGAAGGAGAACGTCCCGGAGACAGACGTAGTCCTGATCGCCCTGATGACAAGGATCGTTCAGGCCGTCCTTCAGATCGTCCTGATGACAAGGATCGTCCAGGTGTGACTTACTATTACGTGGACAAGTTTGGCCATCGTGTACCAGTCCCAGAAGGAGAACGTCCCGGAGACAGACGTAGTCCTGATCGCCCTGATGACAAGGATCGTCCAGGCCGTCCTTCAGATCGCCCTGATAACAAGGATCGTCCAGGCCGTCCTTCAGATCGCCCTGATGACCAGGGTCAACCTGGCCAACCTTCAGATCGTCCAGGTGTGACTTACTATTATGTGGACAAGTTTGGCCATCGTGTACCGGTCCCAGAAGGAGAACGTCCGGGTGACAGGCGTAGTCCTGATCGCCCTGATGACAAGGATCGTCCAGGCCGTCCTTCAGATCGCCCTGATGACCAGGGTCAACCTGGCCAACCTTCAGATCGTCCAGGTGTGACTTACTATTATGTGGACAAGTTTGGCCATCGTGTACCGGTCCCAGAAGGAGAACGTCCGGGTGACAAGCGTAGTCCTGATCGTCCCGATGACCAGGGTCGTCCTGGCCACCCGGATGACAAGGATCGTCCAGGCCGCCCTTCAGATCGCCCTGATGACCAGGGTCAGCCTGGCCAGCCTTCAGATCGTCCAGGAGTTACGTACTATTACGTGGATAAGTTTGGACACCGTGTGCCAGTCCCAGAAGGAGAACGTCCGGGTGACAGGCGTAGTCCTGATCGCCCTCATGATCAGGGACGTCCTGATCGTCCTGGCCACCCATCAGATCGCCCTGAGGACAAGGGTCGTCCAGGTCATCCCTCAGATCACACAGACAACCAGAATCTCCCATCAGGTGGAAGTGACACTTTAAAGGAAGTTACAAAGCAAGGTGATGTGACAAACACTGTACTGAAAGTAGACAAATCTCAGCAT